ATCGTGTTCTCTTAATTGAAATTGATTCGAATACTAAATCATATTCTTTTAATTAAAATTTATTTGACTATTAAAAGTAACTAACGTTTTTTACTTTATAAGAATATCAAGACAGAATTCATCTTCAACTTCAGAATTCAACTTCACGTCATTTTTATTACAATGTATAATCGAATTAACAAATAAGAATATGCTCAGGTTTTCAAACTACAAGAAAACGTATAATATAACTTAGCAGAATCTAATAGCATTTTTATTTCCCTTTTACATTGCGTAATCCTTTAGTGAACGTAACAAATTCTTCTTTAATCATTCTTCTTTAATTTTTGTAAAACAAAACTATTGTAACATGAGAATAAGAATTTTCATAAAAATCCACGGTCTAATTATAAGGAGTCTAATTATAATAATTTGGAGGGAATATTTAAAAAATGATCGATTCTTTTTGTTGCAGATTTCTCGAGGTGGTCTAACGGACGTTGAGATGACTCGAGGAAGATCATCACCTCTCGCATTAAGAGTATGCATAGGTAAGAACACATTACGAGTCGGCGTTTATCGATTGATTTGCATAATTCATTGAATCGCAAATGCATAATGTATGTTCGCAAATATCTCGACGGTCGAGGCTGTCGAGTATTACTATAAAAAGCCAATGCAGGAAATGAACTGATAGAGATAAATGCAATATGAAGAGGGTGATAATTAAATTACATTTAACAGTGTTGTTTCTTGTTCATACTACCGATGAAATTGTGCATTTCGGTTTTTATTAGGTGCCAATTCATATTAACCCTTTGCACTCTAGTGGTGACTCTGAAATCACTGAAAAAATCAAATCATCGCTAAAAATTGTTATATCATGTTACAAAATAATTTTTACATGTTTGTCTATATTCAAAAAACTATTAAAAGGGTAACTGTAGTATAAGTTACAAGACTCGATCTTATATGCACTAACACATGTAAAATGGAAATAATGTAGGTCACAGAAACTGTCTGGGATTTAGAGATAAAATGGCTTCGAGTGCAAACAGTGTAAAATTAGTTACTCAATTAAGAAAATAATTTTAATAAATCGTGCTAGTGCACCGTCAACGTTACTTGTCAATTATCTAAAGGATGATATATTCGATAATCCAAAATAGGGAGTTTCTAAGGTCATTCGAAGCAACTTTTTCCTTAGCGAAAGTGCAATCCGCAGCTTTGTTTACGAATTATTAAAGACAAACACTGACCAATGAGGAGCGAGATCAGCTGACGCGAAGCGGCCGAGTCAATCAGCGGAACTGAGCTGCATGCGTTCATTAACTCGGTCGCCTCGCGCCAGCCGAGCTCGTCTCTCATTGGTCACTGTTTTTCGTTAATAGCTCGTAAACGAAGCCGCGGATTGCATTTTCGCTAAAGAAAAAGTTACTTCAAATGACCCCAGGAACCTTCCATTTCCGGACTACGAGACATTTTTGGACACCCTGCATATCATTTATACATATTACTTGTCATAGTTACACATATTGTATTTTGTAAATTTTGTATTAAATATGTGTGTTTTTATAAACATAAAAAGTGATAAAAACTGTACGAAGACAAAATATATTTTGAATTCTGAATATTTGAATTTTAAATATTTGAAATTGGAATCATTGAATTTTGAATATTTGTGTTTTGAATTTTTAGCAATAGTTCCTGATATTGTTTATTTATGCTTTCCTGACACTTCAGTATAATACGCTATCTGAACCTCAGCGATCTGCTTCTTATAACTCAATATGCATTTTCCATTCACTACTGCAAATCTTATCTGTTGTAATTATACCTAGTGTGAGCGTCTTAAATATCTTTGTATCTTACACACAAAGTGGACCACGTAAATGAAACCGTCTAAGTACCCTGTTAAGTCTGTGTAATACAACGTTGAACGTTTCGCAGAGATGAACAAAATGATAGCAGCAGTTTTCAGGTTTCAACACAAATAGTATACTCTGTCTATAACAACATTTACATGACCGAACACGCATCTTTCACGCTTCAAATAATAAAGTTTAGTGCCTGTTAGTCTGCTGACTAATGTTTATACATTCCGTTTATATCGTGTCCATCGGGAAATAAGGATCTGCTAATAAAATTGAAGTTCGTATGAATATTATCGAACGTTCAATAATTAAGATGTATCTAATTTAGCAGCAGATGGAAAGTCCACGATTACTGTAATTAAAAATAACGAGTCGAAGCTTAGAATTTTCAAGTTTTAATAATGAATATAATTCATTCATGAATGTTATTCAGAATCAGACTGTGAGTGAAAAACACAATTAAGATTAAAATTAACCAGATAAATGAACTAACACATTTTAGGTGAAAAATTGTTTGATATTGAAAAGCAAATAGTAAGCAATTTTTGTTTCTTTTTGGCGTTTGTCGCACAATAAATATTAATTGAATTCAATCATGTCGCTTAGAGCGATTGATTGATTTATAGATAAGAAATAAAATTTATTATTTCAAATAATTTATTCGGATCTATATAAATAATAATTTTTATCACGTAGTGAAACTTCCAAATAACGAATAATTTTTTATTTAAATAATCATTTAAATGAATGTTTATTTAAACGATGCCCAATTCTTGTTATTTTAGGATTTGTGATCTTACTTCCCTCACAATTAGATCAATTATCGAAGAATCTGTTTGTCGGAACGAAGAAGCTTAGCTTCCTGTTCGCTCAAATCATCGACGTTCTACTGCAAATTAAATTACGAGGAGGAATGTCGCCATAGCTTTCACGTGAATGCCACTGCACGATACATACAATACATGTGTATGCAAGTATCAGTCTTAAGAGAACATCGAAGTCTCCGTTGCATCCTGTTCCATCGCGATACCGTGCTGCGAAGATTACCAATCGAGGAGAGACCGCACGAACTGTTCAGGCACGAAGTACTGTTAGAATTGCTGCACTGTTCTGGACTGTAACCTAACCGTAACACTTGTCTTGACAATATCAATTTATGGCCGCACTAAACGCAGCACCACTCCACTATGGGGCAAGATGCATCCAAAAGCGGAATTAAGTTCCGTTTCATAAATGTTCTCAAAATTAAAAAAAGTATTATAAAGATAGCTAACTGAACGTTTGGATTACAATGTGGCACAATTCTTTTTTTATTTTTATGAATTATTATCACGACTATACGATGTCGAAGATGCCGGCTTTCGAACTAACTGAAGTATAAAATTGTTTACGATCTCAATCTTTTATGAACGAAGTAATCATTTTTCTTATAAATCGATATTTTACAACGTAGCCGGCAGGAAACCGATAAACTTTTGTAGGAAACATTTTTTATCCGATTAATGGAAGTGCTCGAAAATTTGTGTGCAAAACACCCTGTGCAACCCTAGTATCTCATATTTTTATGTTTCACACTTTGTTTTTTGTTGATATATGGGAGACCGACGATGGTTGAAACGCGTTAAATATCACAAAATATATGATAGATATTATTACACGGTTCAGATATACAATGTAAAATGACATTTGAAACTCTATCATATTTAGGTAAATACCAAATTTACAATCTGCATAAGGAAGAAAACAACTTTTTACCTAAAAGCTAACTTTCCTTATTGTTTTAAAATTGTGATACAAGTGCTTTCTTAGAAAATATATTCTTCCTTCTTATTATAAATCTTTAATTTTCTAATGAAATTCCGAGAATTGCTTTGCATTAATAAGCATATTATAAATAACAATTTCTAATTAAAGTTTGCAAGTGCGGTCGGGGACGATTATAACACCGACAGTCGGGATCGATTCTAAGAGATCTCTACGTCTAATATACACCTTATAATTTAAATAAGTACCTATATTTATTAGGTTAACTAATCAATTTGAAATTGATAATAATATAATATATATAAATAATACAATTTAATATTATAATCAAGCTTTTAGAATGCCTAATACAAAAATTAGAAAAACTAATAAAGGAATCATGGACATAAAAGCACATGAAGATGGCTGGGAATCTTATAGCAGAAGAAAATTTAATGAAAAATGGGTACAGTGGTGTGGCTGTAATCACTGGGCACATAAAGAATGCCATGCTGTGTTACGACGATCCCGAGATCGGGGTTAGTTATAACATTTTACCCACTTCCCATATTTTATTAATAATTTGGATACTTCTTGATTCACAACAAAACCATTCTAACTGAATAATCTCAGATAAGTGTAATCAAGTTCTCTAAAATGAAAGTGTTACAACCGTCATCGGTTACCCCTGGTTCTGATTGTATGCAGTATGCTGCACTTCGAAACACACACTTTTATATCGTGTGCTAAAGGGTGTCAACCCGTTGAATAAGCTACCAATAATAATAAGTTTCGGCTCGGAACGATACTCGTTCGAAATTTCCTCGTTTCGCCAAGACTCGGCGTTCAAAATCGTGATATCGAGAACGAAAGTTTCCGGTATTTGTTCAGCCTGCCAGAATCGAAACTGAAAGTTTCTTTCGATCCCTGGTTGCCGGCCAAGTCCGTATTATTATCGGATGATTCGTTACGAACTGGTAACTTTGTAAGGAACTCAAAACGAGAATTCGATCATTTGAGGAATTAGAAAGCGGAATTCTTTCCTGGATATCGCGCACGCGCGGTTCAATGCTCGCTTTAAAATCGTTCGGAAACTGTTTCACGCTTTACGCAATAATACAGGTGAATATCTCATTTGCATATTGTGCTCGATTTAATAGAGTATGCATGTTCGTTACTTTAATTATTCCTATGCAGTTATTCGCTTCTGCATTTAACACTCTCGAAGAATCCGCCGCGGAACTTGCTAATGCGATTCTTATGCAGATTCGTAATAGCCGATTGTTTGAATTACACAACGCATTCCGATACAAAGCGATCTCACGCCAACAGCACATTTGTTTGAATAAAAGTGAGTTGAAGTTTGTGTAAGCTTGGAAAGCATTCTTGACTCGATTTTATGCATTTATAGCAAATGCTAAATAGGTGCGATTTAAAGCAGTCGGTACATGATAAGAATTTAGGAATATGACATTTCCATTTGATATCTTTTTCTTGCACTTCCGACGAGCAATCTTTATTTTCATGAAGAACCACAGTCTATTAATTGAAATGGTTTATTCAATTAACTGTTGTCAATAATCGTAAAATGACAAACCCGATGTCTGGCAGTTTTGGAATCTAAACATCTAATAATAATAATTTTAGACTGATTTTATATTATGTGATCAGTTTGAATGATTTTAAATGTCAAATCATTTACTGAATATTATTTAAAATAAATTATTTATAACTAAACAAATATTAATATATATAAAATAAACTAAGTATATAAACTATTTTATATATAAATTTTATTATTACACATTTTTATTATATTTCATATTTTATACAATTTATTTTATATACAAATATGTAAATATACATATAAACAATCATACGAATATTCGAATACACGAATATACGAATTTGTTGAAAATGTGTTGTTCATCGAT